TAGTTACCTCGAACAGAGTACCGGAAAATAAATGAAACTTATAGGTACGAATCGTCATACAATTCAGTCTAAAGACATATATAGATTTACCATTTTTCATCTCGTAACAAACATACCAAAATTTCGAAATCAAACGAAGAATCTCCTGACTGATTAACTGGAAATACCTGAATAAGAATTTCAAAGTCATTTTAAAAATATAATTCCTCCGATAAATTAGTAGAGGATTTTACTATAGAAATGGAAGTCCAAATACTGCAATGGTTGACTAGACCCACTAGATTTTTATGTGAAATTTAAAGTTAATATTTTAATTAGAATTAATTACAAGCTATAAAGAATAATTTGAAATTAATTTTAATTAGTCAGAATTAATTTTAAAATAATACAAATAATCAAAATTATGTTATTTGTCATAACAAGTACTCGATAAAACAAATCTAAAATATAAAAATCCACAATCTATAGTATGCCACATTATTTGCATGCATTGAAACAGTGTGTCTTAATAGATTGAGATGAATTTCAGAAATTTCCCTTCAAAAGTCCAATTAATAAATGAGGAATTCTTCGTGCAACAATAAACACTCTTTTCAACAATAATTTACTACATTAGCTTCACACGTGTTCATGATTCAAACGCCTTTGTACGCTACTTCCGCTCAGAAGAATAAAACATTGGCAACACCCTGTATATCATTGTACGAATGCATCCTACTGAAATGTGTCCCAAAATATAACATATCCTTCTCGTCGAACCTTAACGAATAGCGAAATGCAGAGGTGATTTACACTCAATTGTTAAATCTTCTAAGATAATATATACATATTATGTAAAATAGGACCCATTTCCGTTTGTTGGGAAGTAACGACTCTGCTTACAAAAATAGATCCGTAAAACTAAACAATTCAACAGGATTTTTTAATGTACAAGATGTTAAACATTCACTGTCCCAGCCTAAGAGTTCCGATTTCAAGAATTAAATTGAACAATGACGAGGAACTCTTGGCAGGCGAAATTAAATTACAGTCGAACTTCTGTAATTCGAAGTACTATGATATGAACTTACATTATTTCGAGTTACTTGCATTATTCTCTATAACTCAAATTCATTGCCTTATTATATCTTAACAATAGTCTTTTGAATTTGTCTTTCTCCCTCTCTCACAAGAAAAGTTCAATAAGGTATAATGTCCACAATTTTCTTCCAATGAGATTTGAATTATAGAGGTTCGACTATACTTCTCTGTTAACGCTCTAAATGAATCAACATTTAGTATATAATCCTAGATAACTGTAGTTTTTACAATCTCTCACTGATGTTACATTAAGAGGACACGTGCTAGAAGACTGAGATCTGTTTCATTAATTTCCACAGTCCTTTGTTAAAACACGTTTCTTTAGTTACACTAAATAGGAAGTTACACTAAATAAAAAGTGAATAAAGGCACTCTTAGACCATGATGCGTGTAACAAAGTTGCATAGAGAACAAAATGAAATCTCGCTGTATGTTAAACATTTGATACACAGTACAATGATTCTTGAAAGTCTCTCTTTGTTCAACTGATGAATGTACTGCTTATTAACTGGAAAATATCATTACTGCCAGATTGCAAATATTTATGTAACTTCATATTTTTATGCATGTAGCCAATAATTCATGGAACCTATAGCGACATATTCTGTGCATTATTGCACATTCGAGTTTCCTATAAAAATCTGCAATCTAGCAGTAATTGCTTACGTATAACACAGAAGTGAAATCCCAGCACGTATCTGTGTTTAACAACTCTGAATCAATAAAAATGCAACTTCTGCATACATATCTGTTCCGAAGTATCCTTAAGTAGAAAGGGAAATAACAAACGACGTTTATGAAAATGCTCCTAAATTGCATTATGAAAATGGATGCCTCGAAATACAACACAGCCACATTTTTTTTTTTTTCTTTTTTCCTTAGGCAATGAATGGAAATATCAAAAGTTATTCAATTCTCTGTCTAGTTATCTAAAAATATGATTTCTCTATCATTTATCATTGCTCGTTAGCTATTTTATTCAAACCTACACAGAGAGAATCGAAAATTTCATGGCAGTTTATCGAAAAGAGATAACTATACTTATGTTTCTCTTTAACTGTCACGATAGAGTACAAATATTAAGGCGCCATGACGTAGTCGGATGTAAAAAATTCATATTAAAAGTTGCGTTTAGTTTTCAAAATGTAAACTCTACAAAATGTAAAAATCTATGTCTGCATAGACAGTAGGACTTCGTTCAAATATTAAAATTAAATAAGAAACGAAATAGAGCTATGTACAATGGTGCATATACAGATTTTAATCTAGTTTATCAGAAACCAACGGGAATCTGATTACCCGCAATTGACGGCCAAAGTCGCATACTACGCTATCTTTTAATGCTAACATTTGCTTTACGAAAATACAACTGTCCGTGTGACCCAGTCTGACTTCGCGCACAGGCTCTCCCGTCCTTACGTCCCAAACTACTAATGATCCCTGAAATCGTACAAGTCGCAAACGTTTCTTATTATTTTCAATGAACCTTACCCACGCGACATTTACGTGGCAAGTGTTGCTATGAATATTGTTTAACTATTACAGAAAATAAGAATAAAAATCTCGTTAGAAACGTGTACATACCTGACTGCTGGTTATGAGTAAATGATGCGTTAACATGACTAATTGTAGACTATATGCTGATCTATGCGCTGGAAGAGCGTGTAGTAAATGTCCCTGAAATCGTTCCCATACACATAACCTTTCATCAGTGCCGATACTTATCACGTATGACACGGAGCATGTGATAGCGGCTACAGTGCCATCGTGAGCATGTATACTATACATACACGTTCCTATAAACAAAAAATAAAAATATGTATGTGTTTGTGTGTGTGTGTGTGT